CACATTTCATACCCTGGGCAGGGCCGTATCCTGGGGGCAGTGGGGGCCTTCTCAGTGTATGCCCTGGGTTTGTGCTGCTGCTCTTGCTTCTCCTCCTCTTTCTAAAGCCCAGCACTCAGCACACTCAGAGCAGTGATGCTGTTGATGCCTCGCCAAGGCTTAACTTGTTACACAGAGATTTTTTATATTAGACTCCAGTGGGAAAACAGCTGATTGCATTTCCCATCACCCAGGGAAAACTTTGGCACTCCATCTGCGATGCAGGGAGGGAGCACAGTGGAGCCCTGGTGAGGGGAGCTGTGCTAGGGCTGTGCCAGCCTGCTCCCGGGCCTGCTCCCGGCCCGCTGGGTGACCTTGGGCAAGTCGCTCTGCCTCTCCATGCCTCAGTTTCCCCATCTGTAAAATGGGGATAATAACACTGCTCTACCTCACAGGGATGGTTGTGAGGCTTCCTTGGCTATCATTTGTAAAGTGCTTTGAGATCCTCGGGGGAGGGTTGCCACAGAAAGCCAGATGGGTACCTGCAGTGGGGACTTGGGCAACCCAGCCCCCTTCCTAAGGGCTGTAGCGGGATGTGAGACATGAAGAAAATGAGCTGCTCCTACAGCTGAAGCTGGCAATGTGTTTTACAATGCAATTTGTTCCCTATTTCTCTTTTATTTGTGGGTGTCTGTTGGTGAAGCTGCAGGACAGGCAGCTCCCCCATCCCCACTTGATATTGGGAATCACAGCCAAGCCACGACTTCCCTGGCTGCAGGGGCTCACGCCCTGACAGAGGTGCCGGAGTGGAAGGTAGGTGAGGATTTGATGGGCAAGGCAAACAAGGTGCTACCTTCTCTGGAGACTGTTGTGGAGAGGTCAGACTTGCTTGTGGGGTGGTGGTATAGGGAGCACCCTGCAGCTTTCGCCATGGGGCACCCACCTGAGCGGGGCCGTGCGCTTGGGACAGGGACACAGGCACCCGGTTAGACTGGCAAGTGGGACACAGGTCCCTGGGATCCTGGTCCCCTCCATGGGACCCTCAGGCAAGTCACTTGACTTCTCTGTGCTTCAGCTTCCCCATCTGTAAACGGGGGACAGTAAATCTGACCTACCTCACAGGAGGTGTGAGGCTCCCTGCATGGCTTTGCAAAGTGCTCCAAGATCCTAGGGCGAAAGTTACTCTGTAAATGCAAAGTATTGTTAACATACCATTGTCATGCATGAGAGTCTGGGCAGGAAGGCTGAGACCTCCCAGCTGCCCCAAGAGAACCCCAGCCCATCTTTGGAGGAGACCTTCTGTGGGAGAGGACACTGAGGGGAGGAAAGGACTTTTTTAAAGAACTATTTTTAGCTGTTCCAACCTGTTGGCCTTTTTTAGATGGTATCTGGACACAGTTCCACTTACCACAGGATATGCAATGCTGTACTATGCATGGATTACTCATCTGGCTTGATGGAAACAGTCAGCATAAGCAGTTTTTGACACGTAACTCTATATGCATATGTGTGCGGGTGCTGTTCACGGCGCAGGGGGCTCCGGGCTGCTTTGGGTGCCAGCTCCTGCAGGGTCTCTGCTGTCACAAGGGCTCTGCAGGGGGGTCTGCAGAGGCTTTCTGGGCTGTATGGGGGAGAGGGCCCTGCTGGAGGTGTGTGCTGCAACAGACACGTATGTGTATCAGCATGCACAAATACATGTAGGAGATGCCTGTGAATAAACACGGGGTGCGTATGACATGCTGTGTGGTGACAGCACATTTTTGCACTGTAGAGGTTTAGTTAGCTTTGCCTTGAATGAAATAAACCTTATGTTTAATAGAGAAACTAGAGTCTGGGTTGCTGTATGTGTTTAGGCTTACCATGACCCCCAGGCATGCTGCATTGCAAGCCCTGTGCCGAGGCAGAGCAGCAGTGGTGCTCCTGTGTGATGAGCACCGGCTGTGTCCGCTCTCTGTAGCTGTTTGTCCAGGGTGGATGAGTGCTACCCTGTGCTGCCTGCATCCTAAGCTCCTTCCTGGCACCCCAGGTGAGTGCTGGTGCTGCCCTGGAGCTATGCTAGAAAGAGCTGATTTAAAAGAATGCCTGATGTCCATGATTTCCAGTAGTTTAAACTGACCCCATTCTTGTCTGACTGAGGGGCTGAGGTTCACGCAGCACTTTCTTGTGTGCAGGAACAGCTTGTTCACGAGGCAGCGAATAAAGCCTGCCCTCTGCTGGGAAAGCAGCTCTGGGAGAGTGCAGGGTACTGTCAGAAACACCCCTGCAAGCAAGAGGGACAGAGCCCTCAGAGGCTGCATGAAAAAAACAAATACTCTTTTTTAATGGGGATATTCCATAGCACAAACATCATTTCTCTCTGTGTAACAGCAGTGAGCAAAGAGCAGCTGAGCCCTGCAGGAGCCTTCCTGCCACAGCAGGGTCAGCACAGGGTAATAAATTAATCTTTCTGCGGAAGGAGCTTGAGCTGGTCGGATTCCTTCATGGTATCAGTGGCCGTCGCTCCAAGCTGCCCTTTGCCTCCTTGGCTGGTCTCTGGTGTGCTAAATCACAGCCTGGCAGCGAGGGCTTGGGAGGCACCACTCACCTTCCGATGCTGGAGCTGAGACAGCCAAGCACGTAGGGATGGGGAGGGAGGCGTGAGGGGAGAGGAGGGACCTGTCCCAGCAGGTCTCAGATCTCCGACTGGAAGGAGAGAGAGAAGAAATAATAGGATTTGAAAGGGCATCTGAAACCAGGAGCACAGAATCGCATCCTTAAGGAGCCAGCTCAGCTTCATGCAGAGCCCAAAGGTGCCCTTCCCCACCACCCCCAAGCCCCCTGTGATAGAGCAGCCACAGCCAGCAGTGCAGCACTGACCCTCCGCACGGTGTAGATCCAGTTGAGGTAGGCACGGACGCTGGTGTAGACACCGGGTGTGCTGGGGGTGCCGCAGCCCTGGCCCCAGCTCACAATGCCCACCACTTGCCAGTGCTTGCCTGAGTACAGCAGGGGCCCTCCGCTGTCTCCCTGCAAAGGATAAGCCAGTGGAGTGAGGACCACCCAGTCCCCAGGGTGGTGGGTACCAGTGCTCGTGGCTGCAGCCTTTCCTAGCCCTGGAAGGGACTATTTCCTCATCAGGAACCAACCTGGCATGTGTCCACCCCTCCTTGGAACAGGCCAGCACACAGCATCTTCTCGGTGACCTCGCCATGGTAGGCAGCAGTGTTGCAGCTCTCCTCATCGATGAGTTTCACCTCCGCCTGCTGCAGGACCTCAGACAGTTTGCCTGCACACAACGTGGTGGCTCAGAGGGGACCCAGGAGGGAGCCCACCAGCTCTCATCCTGTGAGTGGTGCTGGCGTGGGGACTGTGCCCTCCTCCCTGTGCTGTCCTACTCACCGCGCTTCTGAGTGTAGCCCCAGCCTATGACCCACAAGGGTGTGCCTGGCACCAGCTCCTCATCGAAATAGGGCAGGCAAATGGGCTTGCTGCTGTCTGGAAGTGGGATGGGAAATGCAGGAGATGACTGAGGAGGGTTGTGGGGAAGCAGGGGCCATGCACCGATGGGCACCCAGCTCCCTGCTTGCACATGTCCTTCTCCACTGCTGCTTGATGCCCACTGAGCTTTGCCGAGCTCCTAGGCTGCTTCGGGAACTCTTACTCTCAGGAGGTTTGTGCCATAACCCACCTGAAACACGGAGGGGAGACTGCAGCTTCACCAGAGCAATGTCATTGTCCTTGGGAGACGTGGACATCTCCCCAGCCAGGAAGACCTTCTCCACAGCAAGGGTGGTGGTGCCTGAGAGGAGGTTGGAGCCGGCCTTCACACGCCAGCTCTGAACAATGGGGTTGTTCCTGTGCACAGACATGTCTGTTATTGCTCCCCTCTTCCCTCATGGCTCTGCTGCACGGACAGGCAGCAAAGCCTTGCCTGCTCTCTGCCCTGCTCAGCATCATTGCACCAAGGAGCACAAAGCCATGTTAATTACCCAACACATGGTTTAAACCCAGCGGGGCTCAGCCTGGCATTGAGGAGCCAACTCACTTGAAGCAGTGCGCTGCCGTCAGGATCCAGCTGCGGTCGATGATGCTGCCCCCACAGATGTGCTCCTTCTTGTACTGCAGGCTGACCTGCCACGGCCAAGCCTCGATGGTGGCTGGGCTGCCCCCCAGCACACGCGGAGTCCTTATGCTCTCCCCGCACCCTTCTGTCGGACAGCAGAACAGCAACAAAGCAGCATGTTAAAAAGAGCACTGCTCTGCCCTCCTCTGTCCTCAGGTAAGTGGGAACAGAGGC